GTATACGAATAATTGCACGGTTGCTCAGAGATAGATAGAGAAAGAGGGTTCAGTAGTCAGGGCGCTAATCGAAGGTGAGAGATAGAGAGGTCAATGAGTAATTAACAACGGCAATTAATGATCAACAACGAGTTTATTCGCGGATCTTCTAGCGCGACTTGAAATAGTTCACAATGTGCATGCGACCTTGCCGATCACGCGGTAAACAGCTGATTTGAAAGGCGCGCGACACAGCGATGACTGGCAATAATAAGAATTTTCGGTTACAATATTTGTGGCAATTCGACATCGATTTTATATGCGAAATTCGCTACTACGAGCACTCGGGATTCAAAGCGAGACTATATGGTACTATAGCAAATATAAAGCAACAAGCATGCAACTAACTGAATGACGTAATCGAACGGCAATAAATGCGCAGCAATCCGCGGCCCGATTAATAGCGCGCGCAAGCAAAGATGCTGAAAATTAAGCTCGTGAAAGCATAGCGCAATACACCAGAAAGGATAACGAATAGCTAAATCAAACGTTAATATGAAGATATGCGATACTACTCTGAAGCGATTCGTAATCGCTACCACAACATGACGTATAAATGCGACAACATTTCACAATGCGATACAACAATTAAGGGCCGCCTAAATGGCGCACAAAATGATGCGTATTAATTACAGAATAACAGTTAGTATAGATGACTTAACGTGGCCGCTGGATGCAGATGTGGCTCGAACTTCTCTCTGTAAAGAGCGATCGTCATGATCGTCGTAGGCACCGGCATTGGATCCGTTACCCTAATTAACACTCACTTAAACTCGCGTTCCCGCGACGCTCATTCGATTCGCACATTGTCCGCGTGACAACGGAGGTGATGGCTTTAAACGAGAATGCTCGGCTCACCAACGATACGGGCTTCTTCCTTCCGGCTGTCGGTTGTCGGTCTCGGATTCACGTCCTTCCTTGTATGAGCGCATCACGATAAATGATTCTTCCGCGCCCTTTCGCGGAAGAACACACGCAAGTGATTGCTGTCTCCCTCTCGCGATTTCTTATTGACCGAAAATCGGCTAATCGCGGGGCTCTAATCGGCCGCGAAGTCCTCGCGGGAAATTCAAAAGGGCGGCGGTATCTGCGACTACGTTCCTTGGCTTCCTGGCCCCTCCGGTTATGAGATTCCTGCGTCTCATTTTATCGATCCGATATCCTTGCTGGTCGCCGATCCGATCCAGAGCCCCGCCGGGTCCCGTAATCGGGGGAGGGGGGGGGGGTTCTCCACGTTTTGTTCCGTGGGGTGGCGCCTTCCCCGTTCTCGCTCCGCTCGCCTCCCGATCGGCAATGACACTTTTTCGGCTAGAAAAGGATTCATATACCAGCGGCACTTCCATTCTCGCTGATGTAATTGCGAGAAGGGTAATATGACCTGCGAGTTCTGATTCCTCCAGTCGCCCTCTGTTCGGCAGTTCCCCTGCGTCCGTACATCGTCTCCATCGTGAGCGCAAAACACAGACAATAGGCAGCCATCACTCCGCGTACTTAAAAAAAAATAAATCACGCCGCATGCGATCGCGACAACGGGTCCGCTAGCCAAATAATGATCGGCCGTCTCCTCTCTCATCGGAGAGTGAGTCCCAGTTGCGCACAGAATAAATCGGACACAGCAGATTGAATGGCTTAGACACAGGTCTAAACGGACACAATAAGGAATAGACACAAGGTGGTTGAAATCGGACACAGTAACAATTG